ATTAACACACACTCTCAATAAGTAGCATAACCAGTAATAGAAAGAACCAGTCCATCCTTTTTTCTTATCGTTTCTCAAGTCTGCCTTTTCCTTGAGCTACTTTGTACAAACCTTTGAATTCTGACAATGACTTAACAGTCTTTCAGCCAAAATTTCTAACTTATTACATAGCCATCTAGATGTTACGCTGTTTCGCGCCTTTTTGATGCAGCATCACCTGATCAAGTTCTGCTTTATCTTCCGCAATTGGTGCAGGCGCTCAAGTACGAACCTCTTCCTACCACAGACGCGGCAATTGTGGAGCAGGTATTGAATTTTTGTGAAAGTTTTTGCACAAGCATCTCCTATCCATGAGAATTCAAAAGATTGTAAACAGATTTAGCCCGCACCGTGGGAGTGTAGTTGCACCATTAGATTGAGTGCTAAGTGATAGTAGTTCAGATGGAATCGTGTTCTAATTCGCAGGCGACTGAAGCGACCGAGGTTGTCGTGTTGGAGGAAGACGACCTCGCAGCAAAGACAACTGACGATTTGGCCTCGTTTTTGGTTAAGTAAGTTGGGTTCGATATCTGTCGTTTTGTTTTCACACGTTTCCCTCCTTTTGTGTTGAAATGGGTCTTTGTTTGAGTTCCCCGCATGGTGGTGTGTTAATTATCATTCAGAGGAGAGCCTTGCAAAATTTTTGGTTCAGGTATGCCACAGGATACCCGAAAGTGGCAAATTTCTTGTTCTGGCATTTGAAGGTCGAAATGGAAGCAACTCGTACGACTGATGAAGCAATATCATCAGTGAGTTTTGCAATTCTGCACTTTTGCCTATAGTTTTGCCTCAAAAAACCACTGCTGTAATGCAACTGATAAGAGCATTCTTTGTTGGCTGAGAACTTGAAAGCAGGTCACAAATCTGCAAATTTGTTTAGAAATGCTAACAGCACAAGTAATAGAGCTCTTGAACTAACTATATTACTTCATTTTTAACAACATTTTCCAATCGTCTGATTTTCATTTTCCACTTTTTTGCATTGTTAAACTTTTTGAATTGACGTTTTGAGTAATCTTCAGGTTTATGAACGGTTACTGAACCGCTTACTGGATACTCTTCAACGTGGAACTGCAGAAATGAAAAGACAAGCTGAGAGTTTGAGGTTGCAACGGGTATGCTCCTTATTCATAAATTACAAATACAAATCAGCGTTGACTGTTAATTTATTCTAGCAATTTGTGGAGGATCTCAAAGTGCTCATGCAAGAAGCAAAAAATAAGCATAGCCGTCGAGATCTACGTCAATCCGCTTTGTGTACATTGCTTAGCAATGCGAGACATATGAAGGAATTACGAGGCCTTCCCTTACCATTGGACCCAAGTGTGAAGTTAGTCTTT